TCGCGCTGTTTCCCGACACTGGTGCTCCAGGCGCGCCGCCATTTTCCCCCTCTCTGGGCTTTGTTAGTATCTAGACTATTAGAATTTCTAGATATCTTCAAATATTGGCTCTTTTCATTATACCAATCAGGTGGTTAAATGCGGTTCCTGCTCACTGGCTGAGTGAAGTGCGGGCACAACACCGAGGGTTGAGATCCTGTTGCCGGTCCCGGTCCGGTACGGGCGCGACACTGAGGGTTGCGATCCGTTGCCGGACATTCAATAGCTAGTCAATTGATGGATTTATCCCGTCTGCCAGATAAGATGGGTGCTTATGAGTTTCAGAGGCTAGGAAGTCCAAAGTCTAGGGAACACATTTGGTGATGGCTCTGATGGTGGTGACAGTGACCCAGGGGTCTCATGTGGTAGAAAATGGTGGAGCAAAGAGCATAATTAATCATTTTCTCATTCATCCTATTTATCAGACTTTGGTAACCTCAAAACCTTACATATCTGTAAAACTGAGAGAAAAGAAGATGGATATACTTGCTTCAGGGCACCGTCTCCTAAATGCCTGTCAAGGGCTGGGACTCTGATTCAAGGAGCAGAGGACTCCTGTATTCCTCTCTCCTTGTCATGAGCACTGGCTATTATTAGGTACTGACGAGGTCTCTCTCAGCAAGCACAGAGAAAAGGTAATCTTTTAAAACTGTTATAGAAAGATAAAAAATGTAGAATCTAATTATCTTTTGAGCAACAAATTATCAATCTCTCTTTAAGCTTAGTAGTTTCTCAGAATTTTCTAACTTTCAACTCAGCATGATTTTGATAAGTACTTTTTTTTAATGCTATTATCACCCCACGTCAAGGTTTCTGTCTCAGCATCTAAGAGCATCTCTCTTTTTTTACCATCTCTTTCTCCTAAAGTTCCCTCTATTTCTTTTCCCACAGCAAGTTTCAAGAGAGTACATGGCTTTTCAAAGCTCTTTACTACTTGGTCTGTTGATCATATAGAGATTTCTCTGTATGCCTCAACTACACAATGAATAGAATCTCTACTGATTCATTATCCTACCTGACCCTACATCACAAGATATACCTCATCTACACCAAATACAGGGGTACTTCAAAAAGTTTGTGGGAAAATAGAATTAAAAGATAATACTAACTTTTCCATGCGCTCTTTGAAGCACCCTCATATACTACACAAAATTCACTAGGTAGAAATGGTTCCTGCATCCAGGTGCTTTTTTCCTTCTCATTTTACCAAAACTATGTGCAAATACTCACAATTTCACCTTAGAAATTGGTGGCAAGTGTTATTTAATTCAAGTTCAAATGGTAACCATAAAGCAGTTGTTCTAATGAAGGGCAACAGTGCCCACTCAGAGATATTTTCAAAATTTTTAGTGGGACTGTGGTAACAATGATGTGGGAGTGCACTACTCCTGACATTTGCCTAGTGTGGGGTCAGGAATGCCAAGTGTCCTGCACAAGAAGGAACTGCCCCATGCCCCATGTAACTTTAACATGTCTGCCAGACATATAAAGGTAAAACATACATATACAAATACATGTAAACAAAGTTTTACACGTAAACAACATTTTTTTGCGTGGTTTTTTAATAGTCATAGAATTTTTCTAGGAATGCAAATATTGTGTAATTGAGAAGAGAATGTACTTAGCTCTCTTCAGAACTTTACAAAGGACTGTTCACTATGTCATGGCATTTGAGTGCCCAATACAACATTCCCATACCAATTTGCATTTGTACCTACAGCATTTATAGTGATTGTATGTATAAGTAAAAACATCTGCTTACTTGTCTTCTGCCATAGTTATGTGCAAGCATTTTCACACTAAAATAAATATTTTTTATTATAAATGACTGGCATTTTGTTTCTCCTTTACATGTATTGTTTGGAGAGAATTATTTACGTAGGTTGCATCATTTATAAAACATTTCTTATTGCTATTGGAGACTGACAGAGTTGAGAACCATCACTATAAAGGCTACAAATGGAGTTCTTAAAGCTTTTAAAATTTGGATTTTATATATATTACAAAATTTTTATATATACAAAGGTATATATAAAATATATATAACACAAATTTTTCTATGAACTTTTTGAAGTATGCTCATATACTGAAAACTAAATATTCTTATTTATATCTCCACACTTGCTTCTATAAAAATGTATAGTTAAAAACACATAAAACAAAACGGGTTAAAATCTAAACAAAGACAACACAAAGAAGGAAACCAGAATATGAATTGCTATGATTGAGCACCAAACAAGGAGCATTAAACATTTTTCTTAGGCAAAAAAAAAAATTTTTTTTAAATAAGTTATCTCATTCTCTTTTAATAAAACAAAATCATTTTAAATTACTCCAATAAGAAAACTACTTCTCCCAAAAAAGTATTCACAACCTATTTTTTAAAAAAGGTAAAGGGAAATGACATACGGTGTCATTTTGGGTCTTGTTCCATCATTTCTGTGAAAAGAATATATTTTAGTTAATATGATAACCAACTGTGAATTGTGAAAATCTGGATTATGCAAATTTGTGTTTCAAGTACTTTACTCACTGATTTAAAAAATTTAATTATCTTTAATCTACATATGAGATCACTAAGAATTTTAATATATTTTTAAATCCTCATTAAAAATGATTAGAAAAAAATAAATTAAAGGCATTCAATGAAAATTAAAGAGAAAATACATTACACATAGATTGGAAAATGTATACATTGCTAGGTTTGTTGTTAACAGAACCCGGACATTACAGTTTCATGTAATGTGAAACCATCACTTTGCATCAAGGATCATGTGTATAATTGATTGAGATTATATTTTAAAACATATATGTGGAAAACAATTCTTACTTAGGAGTTACCGGACAGGTATCCAAACTGGAAAAGTAACTTGAAATTACTTATTGCAGCTGAATCAATCTACATATTTTTTTTTAGCACATCACAGAACCCAAGAACAACTTTTCATCCTATATATTAAGAATAGATTTACTTAGAGAGTTCTCACTCATAAATTTGTAACAAAGAATTCAGTGCTAACAAAGGTTAAAAAAATTTTTTAAATATTTTGGTTATAGCCCATGGAGTGACAGAGAACTACCAAACATGAAATATCTGTAGAAAACATCAATAATGAACTGCTAATGTTTATTATGGTGCAGAGTATAAAATATTCATGAAGTTCGAAAGGGAATGAGTTGACCAGGTTCCCCAGTTCACCATGAAGTTCAGAAGGGAATGAGGAGCAAAAGAAACGCTGACAGAAAGCATTTGAAAGGACATTCCAGAGAAGGGGACACCATCCATAGGGCTGTCCCACAAGAGAACTAAAACTAATCTTTCAAGTCATAATGGCTTGAATACCTCCTCATTACTTAATAGTGGTCCCATAACCCAGTTAATTCTGCTTAACTTAAACCGCAGGTAACTGGTCACTTACATTAAAGGTCCTAAATGATCCACTCTTTCTCAGAGACTACTCACCCTAGAAGTGTACGTTCCTGAAGATGGGAAGGAGTCCGCATAGGAACCAGTATATGGAATGGCATTTGATATAGCTTAATATTTCAAATGCTTAAACATAAAGCTTGGTAATGGGTACCAATAATGACTCTATTAATGAGTCCCTTAGAAATAAACTTCAGCCACAATAAAAGCCAGCTCTGTCAACTGCAGTGTTTCCTCACAGATATCAGCACAGCTGCTATAAGAGCTTGGTTCCTTTAAAGCCTGGCCTAGCCACCAGTCAGCTATACACAAAGGCTCCCAGCCACTCTGACATAACACAGGTGGAAGGAATGGAACAGCAGCTGAGCTGAGTCTGCATTTACAAAAGCCACAGCTGGGCTAAAATAGTTTAATAATAGTGAAATGTTAATAAAGAGCCCAAATATTGGACTGAACCCAAGAGCTTAATAATTATTATAATACCTTTTGTTTAGATAGCCCTATTCAGCTCATTTAAAATATAATATACTTTCACATACAATCATACCCGAGAGCTCCCCAATAGAATCACATACTAGAAAAAGTGTGAAGGCAACTTAACATACCCTTTTCTCCCCTATCTTTGTTTTTAGCTAAATAAAATCTAACCACTGCCTTGCAATTTGAACCCAAGGTGTTTCTTTTCACAAGGAAATAGCTCCATCTAGTGGTTGTACTTTGATTATATATTATATATATTAAATCTATGTGCCTCTCAGTTTATATATAACATGCATATCTACATATAAAGGAGGCCCACAAACTAGTTTTGCTTTGTTTTTTTAAGTAATAAAAATAACTAATGTTTCTACATTCTAAATTTTTAAAAAATGAAACCACTATATTAAACCTTTCTGCAACTTTTAATAAGATATTCCTCCACACTGTGAAGTATTTAGAAATAATTAAGAAACCAAAGAAGCCAAAATGTTTCAATGTGATTAATCTTCCATCTTGGAAAGAGAAACCCATTTATTCTGAGACGCTGGAAGGTAAACTTATCCTCATTTAGGGTATATGACATTTTTTTTTTAATTTTGCATTAGGAAAATAAAAAATCCTAACCTCAAACATATTAAATTGCAATATAGTCATTAATTTCTACACCAGTGTGTGATGACAGGTATTTAGAAATTAGATGTCTTCACAATACACAATACTTTTAGTCAATTTCCGAGTAAATGTTGGGATGCTTTCTTAACAGAGTACTAATAACTGAAATCTTGCAGTTTTATTTTTTCAACAGTATAACAATTTGATGGAAAATCAATTGTTCTATTCTTGTGGGTATAAAAGTGAATAAAAATAATTTTACTTTAAGTATGTCAGCACCTAAGGAATATGATTTTCTCTGCCCCTTTCTCATGGAAATGAGAGGCATCAAGAGGTGAAGAAAGCAAAGGATCAGGTGCCCACCCCACCTGGGGCCCCAGTACCTCCGGAGCGCGAGGTCAGCCTGGGCCTCATCACTGATGAGCTCAGCTTCACTCTGGGCAATCCTCAGAGCCAGCTCCCGGTCCCTGCGTTCCTGCTCCAGAACTGCTTGCTGCTGGGATTCCTCCTCCCGCTGCCTGGCCAGCTGCTCCTCCACTTCAGCCTGCCAAGGACAGAAAGCCATTTCACTGAGTTCTTCACTTGCCTACCTGATCACTCCGACTATCACTTAAAATAAAGGAAAGCATAAATGTTTCATGCAAGTTCTTTACTAATATATATTGTTTAATCACATATTTTCTTCTATATTTTGATTTACACTTCAAACACATCTCTATCTTTCCTTTTACCCAAAACCAAGAGAAGGTATGAAAACCACAGCTCCACCATTCTATGGCTATACTATGAGTATCCCAACATCATATGAGTATCCCAGGTATTGCATTAACACCAACATCTAGATAACATATGTCAGGAATTTAAAGTGTTGGTAATGCTTAGGGGATAATATAAAAGCCAAGACAAACAGACACTCAAATACATGATCAATTCTTCTTAGACACAGGACTTTTTAAAAACTGGGGGTAGAGAAAATACCTTAATCCTAACCTATTAATATCAGTATCTACAACATTATAAATTAATATTTTAAGAAACAATTATGTTGAAGTGAAAGTTCATCTGACTCTCCCCAAGGTATAATAGCAATACTAATATTTATTGAATGAGGCACTGTTCTAAATGCTTTGACATGTGTTAACTTGTTTGATGCTACTATTTATCCCCATTCTACAGAGAGAGAACTGTGGCCTGCAGTTACTCAATGGGACCTGTGCAATAATATCACAGTTTTTTCCAGTGACAGAAATTGGATTTGAACCTACTTCCCTACCTCCAAAGCCCCTTCCTATAACCACTTCAGAAACTGCCTTTGGTCTCTGGGATAAACCATTGACAGCTTATCTAGCAAATCAAGACCTCATTTTCACTTCCTTTATAACTATGTCGAACTATTTTGATAAAAATTCCGTCCAGTAAGTACATGCCTGGATACGTTTTTCATCATCTTCCCTTTTCTTTCTCTCTTCTTCTTCTTGTTTTCTCTTCGCTTCCATCTCAAGTTTCCTAACAAAAAAATAGAAAACTCTTCAAAAATTTAATAGATAATCCCTCGGAAGACAGTTTAACTAATAAACGAAGGTAACAGAATGGGAATTCAAATTAACCTCTAACTCTACTGATAGTAATTCTTCTTACATATTTTATAACCTATATGGTCTCTAGATTAATTTGGTTACAAAGCCTCACTGTAAGGTCCTAACTACAAGTGCTTTCCCTCTACTCCCTCTCCAACTAAATAACTCATATTTCTTCTGTCTACTCTGTCATGGCAATCTTCCAAAATGTTATCAGTTTTAAAACTTCATAAGTAGAAGTGTCTTTCTTCTAGCTTATAAAATAAGATACAAGTCATAGCTTTAAAAAGAAGTTAAAAAATCCTTAGGAAGGGCCGGCCTGGTGGCGCACTGGATAGTGCGCCGCTTGGGAAGCGCGCGGCTGCGCTCCCGCCCGAGGGTTCGGATCCCACATACAGACCGGTTCCCGCTCACTGGCTGAGCGAGGCACGGGAGCGACGCCGAGGGTTGCGATCCCGTTGCCGGTCCCCGGTCCGGTACAGGGGCAACACTGAGGGTTGCGATCCATTGCCGGACACGGAAAAAGAAAAAAAAAAAAAAAAAAAAAAAAAAAAAAAATCCTTAGGAATAAGAGTGCAACCAAAATTCAGATTCTAGTTAAAATCATTTTATGTTATCATTATTATAAAATGAACTTAAACTCTCAATTTTCAAACTTATTCTATAATTAGCTCATTAAAATAAGAACAGTTTAAAGAATAGTCATTAACCACCATCAATACCAAAAATTCACTATTAAGTTTCTAATTCAAAACAACATGAATTCCTTACATCTGCCTTTCTTCCTCTTCCTTTCTTCGACGTCGTTCATCTTCTTCGCGTCTTTTTCTTTCTTTTTCCATTTCTTCTTGAATACGCCTCAGCCTTTCTGCCTCCTCTTCCTGCTGTTTTTTTTTCTGCAACGCACTGAGGAGTTGCTCTGAGCTTTTAACTAGTGCATCATATTCTTTCTGTATTTGTTCCCTTGTCATCATAGTGGACTTGAAAAACAAAATAATAAACATGTACTTAAAAAGTTACCTTTTCTGTTGCTCAACAATATGAATATACCTAACACTACTGAACTGTACACTTAAAAACAGTTAAGATGACGAAGTTAATGTTAGGTGCTTTTGTAACCACAATTTTGAAAGGAAAAACTACTCCATTATGCATGTATACAGCAAACACTGGGAAAGCTGGTAAGCAATAAGCCCATTATCTTTGCAATTCTGTTTGTACATTAATATTCCAAAAAAAATTTTTTAGTTATCTCTGTACACGAATATTTGACTTCTATTTCCTATCAATTAAGAAAAATACCTAAGGGTGTGCTGTGGACAAGGTAACATATTGCAGTTAAAATTTTAGCTAATTTAGGGCCGGCCCGGTGGCGCACTGGATAGTGCGCCGCTTGGGAAGCGCGGCTGGCGCTCCCACCCGAGGGTTCGGATCCCACATGCAGACCGGTTCCCGCTCACTGGCTGAGCGAGGCACGGGAGCAGCGCCGAGGGTTGCAATCCCGTTGCCGGTCCCCGGTCCGGTGCGGGGGCAACACTGAGGGTTGTGATCCGTTGCCGGACACGGAAAAAGACAAAAAAAAAAAAAAAATTTAGCTAATTTAGCCAAAGTTTACTACTCTTTAATAATAATGTTCAAAAAGTACCTAAGGAATATTTAAGAAATTACTAAACTCATCCAAAATAATTGGATGATTTTGCTAAGTTAGCCTTCAAAAGAATGTAGCTGTGTTCAATTTACCTGATAATGATACCACATAAACAGAGATGGCCCTTGACAGATTTGTAAAATCAGCTAAATCTTTCTATAGCATTTTCATTCTTCTCCTGATCTTTTTTCTCCTTTCTACTTCTGAGATTTACCATCTTGTACATAAAATATCTGCAGCAAATATGACAGAGGCTTACTTTAAGGGATTTATTATATCCCACATAACTGTACTGACCTATAAAACTAGCTGAGAAAAGCATTAAGACCCTAAAATATAATAAAGGAAAAGATATGAAGAGACAGATGAAATATGATGAACAAGCATATAGAAAAAATTTTCAATCCCACTAGTAATCAAATAAATCAAAATCAAAACAAAAAAGGCAGCCGTGTTTTTCCTATAAAACTGGGGAGGAAATTAATTGATACTTTCCTAATAGTTAAGTAAATTATGTTATAGCTCTATGAAGATAATATATTAACATGGACAAGGCATGTAACATAATTGTAACAATACAAAACTAAATGCATATTATGAAAAGAACTATGTAAAATGCATGCATATAGAATAAGACTGTAATCTGCATTAATCCTCTCTGAATCATGATTATGTAAAAGCTTACCAACAAAATATTTTAGTGTCTCTTTTAGAAGGACAATATCTTTCCTAGCAACAGATAAAACTACATAAAAATTGTCTTTTTTATCTTTTTGCTATTAAATTGTTCAAACACAGAGAAGAGCAGAGAAAATAAGATAATGAGCATCCACTTGCCAACACTGAGACTCAGTACTTGTTAACATTTTGTATCTTGAAAAAATAAAGACACTTTTTATACAATTTCAGTACCAATAACAAAAGATATTAAATCACATAAAAAGTCAAAGTCATTTGGGATAAAATTACATACCTTAATTTTGGCCATCAAAGCATCAATAGAAATTTCAAGATCCTTGATCTGTTTATTCATCTCTGGTTTTCCATCTTTCAATGCACTTACTACTTCATTAAATTTATCAAGTCGTTTTTTCAGTGTGCCCACCTTAACCAGGCCATCAATACTGTAGAGATAGTAGTAATTCGTCAGAGTTTAAGTTTACCGCTTAATGCTTTAGGTAGGTTTTTCATTAATAAAACACTAAATAGATATTGCTAAACAGGCTATTTCACTTCTTCTTTAAATACTATTTAGTATTCTCTTTTTCAGGTCTCTTGTTAAAGGTTAAAATAATCAAATATTGGTGTGAATGACATTCACACTTGTCAACAGGATTAAAGCATTCTGTATTTAGAGTGAAAATTTGAGAACTCACATTATAGAAGAATTTAAAGGAGTTACCCTAGTCTCTGAAAAAGTGTGATGGAGCAATAGTTATTCAGACCTCCAAGTTTAAAAAAGTCTAAATTAATAATGAAAGATTCAAATAAGAAATAAAAGTTAAATTTATAGCAAGACAATACAATTCCTACAGATAATCTCAAAAATTATGGTCAAAAACTAATGGTAAATACTAATATACTGTTTTTTAAAAACAATGTCAATTTGCATTATCAAGAAACTCAAATCTCTAAAATAACTGGAATAAGAGATTCTCTCAACATTTATTTCAATCTTTTCTAGTGTTTACATTTTTGTAAGCCACTTCAAATCATTTTGTAGAATGAGGCAAGTAATGTAGTAATGAATGAACTAACTAATTTCAAGTAAATACTACAAAAAACAGACTAATACATCCTTTTACAAAAACCATGAGAAAACTCCTTTGGTATTCAAACTGCTTTTCATTTTGACTGTACTGCCACTTTATATTATGTAAATTAGATTGTGTAGGGTTCCTTAGGCACTTTTCATCTTACCGAGGTTTGTGTCTCCTTTTGCAAAGCCACATTCGAACAGTTTTTTGCATTTTAATGCAGGCTTCAGCTCGATACTTTATTTTGTTTTTCACTACATGTAAGAGTATAAAATAAAATAACAGAAAATTATTCAGTTTGAATTAGACATATAATATATAAAAAATCACTAATTTCCACAAAGCAATTCTCAATACACATGAAATCTTGATGAACATGTTATATCAGACATCAAAATCAGGAAGTTTAACATTTTAAAAATTTCTTATACTTCTTAAAAATAAAAAGCATATCATGTATATGGGCAGGTTTACATTTTATATGTATTATTTCCTTATTACGCTACACTATTGTTTCCCAAACTGTTATAGGCAACATTTGTCCTGAGAAATGTAAATAGGTATGTCTTGAAAAAATAATTAACCTGTCAATGAGTTTTGGAAAAGCCACACACTAGTACACCTCCTTTTGGAAATTCACAATGAACATATGAGTGAAGCCTCTGAGAATACTACAGTAAAGATATCTATTTAACTTCAGTAACCCAGAATTTCCTAGAATGATCTGACCTGGAACATTTTTTTCACAGCTTCCCTATTAACATCCTGCAAAGAACCCTGCCTGGTTACTGACCTCAGTACCACTGCACAACACAGTCCACAAATAGGTAGTATAGCACAATTTTAATATAACATGTTTTCCATCCTAATGCAAAGTATAAAGCTACATTTATATTTTACTTAGAAAATGACGGGGAAGAGAGAGATACATTTATGTTTTACTTGGAAAATGATGGGGAAAAGAGCTTCTGTTTTCTTTTTTATTAGTTTTCTTTTTATTCATATTCACAATTGTCTAACAAAAAGGCCTCAATAATACTCTTTGTTTGTATGGTTCCTTTTCATTAAGCCAAAGAAATTCTATTTTTCTACTGATAAGGAATGATTTACTGAATCCTTTTCATGTGCCTGGCACTATTTCAGGTACTCTGGTAAATACAGGGCGTAATTATAAATTTAACCAAGTCACCGGTTCCCACATAGCTACCAACAATTAAAGGTTTGCCACAGATTCTCAGATAACCCAAAAATATTCCACCCCACACCCTTGTTTTCGGTCTGAGATAAGTAGTTGCTATGGCCTGGCAGAAACACACACAAAAGCAGCTCAGTCCAGTGTCAAAGTACACTCTCCCCTCTTCTAAGAGGAGAATGGCAGGAAAAGAGCCAGAACAGTAAGCTGAGAGCCCATTTTACATGGTCTTGAAATACATTCTAAGAATTCAGACTTTGCCCTCTACTGAAGGAGAGCCATAAAAGGCTTTTAGTGGAGTGAGATAACTCTGGGAAGCCAGGAAAACCAATTTGAGAGCTACTGAAGTTATTATGCAAGAAAAGAAAAGGAGCCCCACTAAGGCACTGGCAATAAAAAGGAAAGAAGGTACAATACTTGGAGGAGGAATCAGTAGGATTTGGTGACAAGATTCCAGAGATAAGAAAGGAAAGACAATTACAATCTTGAAATTTCTAGTGTGTGTACTGTACATGCCACGCAGGAAAGAGAAAAGTTCTGGTTTGTTTGAGAGATTTGAGGATGGTGGTGGGGATGAAAGCGGGGAGAGAAAAGAATCAAGATAGTGAGTTCTGCTTATAACATGATAAAATTAATACTCTCATAACACATTCAGGTAAAGAAAATAAGTATCACACCCTCAAAAAAATTTTAAAAGCCAGTCTACAAATACTAGCTTATCACCTACTACACATGAGGCGTTGCTTGAAGAACCAGGAACACAACATGAACAGAAGTCGCAGTGAATGATGTTACCCAGCATTCACCTCTGAGACAACTTTACCACATTCCACATACCATTTCATACCCAAAATAATGAAAGATCTTGGTGTGAAAGAAAACACCTACATTTGATGACTGACAGTGAGCACCACTGAACCTTCTTCCAGCGACTGCAGATTAGCCAGTGATTGACTCTTTTAACTAACTCTGCTAAGTGGTCAGGGTCAGACTTCATAATCTGATCAAATTCTGCAAACTAGGAAGTAAAATAATTTATTATCAGTATTAAAAGATAAACGTGTTTAAACACACAGAGACAAACAAAATAAACAGAATTCAAATCCAAAATGTAACCTTCTAGAAATGGTCACATGCCAACTACTTAGACCTATCATAGTGGGTTACACCTATATAGCAAACCCAAACTGCAACCTTTCTCTTCCTTCCTTCAGGATCGTTTTTTGGGGATAACGGAGCTTACTTACTGCTAGGCAGCAGATTCAATAAAAGCAGGAAAAAAATCTTAAATGACTTAATCACAGATGGCTGGCAAAAAGGCTTTATTGAGAAAAGAATGAAAAAGTACTAATATATCTCTGAATTGGCCCACCCACATTCTCAGATATCCACCGTTAGCTCTTGATAAGGGAAGGTCAGCTATCCAGTATCAGGTACCACCAAAATTATTGTCTCTCCCAACCCCCCATTCCCACTTTGGACAGAGATAAGAAATTGCTAGTAAGAGACAGACAAGACAAATAAAACAGCTATTAGGTTATTAATGAATAAAATGCATTATATATTTTACCAAATATCCCACTACAATATTAAGTATGTCACACACCAATCAATATAATGGCTTCTTATAATCAAAATTAAAGATAACAATGAGATTAAAGATCTTTGAGTCTTTGCCTTAGGCTTTCAACAAATCCTCTGACTAATTTTTCAGGAGGTAAACAAGACTAACTGCTTTCTCTAACAGGCTATTAATTCTTAAATAATTACTACAGGTCTGAAAAAAGAGAAACGTTAAATTTATGTTAAATATGCATGATTAAAGCTAAACCAGCTATGAACATTTATATATTTTCTCTTTTTTCTTTTATAGATAATGGTATGGGTCCTCTGCAATAAAAATATTTACAGGGAAGTGCCTATAGTGGTAATGCACACACACATTTCATCTCACATCCCAAAATGTGAAATCAGATTTATTTATGATTTATTTATTGTTAGTTTATCCTTCAAGACACTACAGACATTTATTAATGATTTTGCAAAGTCGAACAAGTATGGTTGGCTATTTAAATATAGTAATAATCATTTCGAAAATTAGGAGAATATTCAATCAATATTAAAGAAGTTAGGAATGGTAGAAATGTTATTACTAACAGATTATGAATAGCATTTAGACATTTCTGTATATATTTATTCTGAATATATTTAGAATATAAATATTAAATATTTATGTAATTATATATAATTATTATATTAATATTTAATATTATATTAATATTTATATAATATTAAATATTGTATTCTGTATAAATATATTCTGAATATATTTAGTTATGAAGTATTCTATAACTCAGTCTTGTGACTTGGCATGAGAACCTGTGAAAACTAAAAGAACAGAATTATATGTGAACCTAAAAATCATGTTACATACAAAAATATTTATACATGCATTCACTCTAGAGTTTGACAGAAGTCAATACAAACTACCAGTCCAAATTCTATACCAATACTTCCAAATCTGAATAAAATTGTAAAAACTGTATACCAAGTATTCATAAGTAGGGAAATTATGTAAGAGGTGCACACGCACATTGATACACATATATTTCACACTATTAGTAACTACATGACTCAAGAATAATACAAATCATTAAATAACTAAAAATATTAACTAACACCAGCTATCCATGTTCATGATGTTAAAGTTTAAAATAAAAATATATTTACCTTTCCAGGTCTAAAAAATACTTTTGTTAACCCAAACTTGTAGTCAATTTCATTTAAGCCCAAAGCTTTAAAAAGAGCCTGAAAAATAAAAGTTAAAAAGTTAAATGCCAATTAATAATTAATAGAAAAGACAGTTTATAGCTAAGAAATTTCAATTGGGTAGCATCTGTACCTTACAAAATAATCTTGGATCCAATCTTGCAAGTTTATCCGGCATATACTTTTTATACATGTTGTAGAGTTCATGAAATGAAGCTCGTGATGGGAAACCACCCTGCATCAAGTCCAAAACAGACACCATACCTAGATTCATAAACAAACATAAATCACTGCCAAAATAACTTACAGGAATTATCAGTAATGAAATATAACATAGAAAATATCGTAACTATACTCAATATGTCCCAACTTATCCACCACCTAAAAACTGTAGTAGTCAAATGTCTTCTAAAACAAGCATGACTATTTTCTAGAGGTCTCTAGAAAGCTCAAGTTTAGTTTATATTCTTTTTTTGGCTAGAATCTGTGTGTCACAATCACAGTACATAAGGCAAAGGTTGGCATTAGGTCATTTTCCAAGTCCAGAGGTTCATTTTAGAACAAGATTCCTGATAGAGTCTCCAAAAAGCAGACAAATACACAAGTTTTCACCAGTGCTTAAAAAAAGCAAATGAAAAACAAAGTAGAGCTCACTCCTTCACTATAAAGACCTGCTTTAACTCATCTTTCAAAGAAAACAGTCTATTGAGATGATGAGTCCACAGGGTGAATATTTTTATTTTTGGTTTAACTCTACTACTAAATGGTTAATCTGAGTCTTGAGTCAACGTGAGCTTTTCAGGTCAGGAAAAGCAGAAAATATGCAGAGAAAGGCTCAACAGCTATAGATAATGCCAGAACTTTTGTTTACAACGAGACAAAGATTTCAATCTCTGGGACTATTCAAATCAATGGAGAAAACAAGATTATTAAATAAAAAGTGTTATGACAAATGGCTAGCCATTTGGAAAACAAAAATAATATTAGATCCTTACATCACTCTTTATACCTAAAGAAATTCCTGCTAGTCAAACATTTAAATTAAAAAAATGAAACCATAAGTTTTTAAAGGAGTGAATTTTGATTTTAAAATAATCTCATAGGAAAATGGCCTTTACATGTAGTCAGATTGAATTTTAACCTATGTGACGGGCAAAGGTGTAAAACACCAATAGTACAGTTGATGACAATGTAGGAAAACACAAACACTTGTACTAGGAGAATAAACCAGTGAAACGTTTTTTACGGCAATTTGAAAATATGTATCCCTTTGGCTCAGTAATTTCTACATCTATCAAACTATCCTATAACTTCGCACACTTGTGGACAAAGATGTGTGAAGAATGTCCTGGTGAGACATGGTGACAGCTTGGATTAGGAAGTACTAGGACTCACTGTTTAGGAGGTCACATCAACGGGATTTGGAGAGACTTAGAGAATATACACCTGGGCTGTCCAATATGGCAGTCACAGGCCACACGTCCTGTAGCTGTACTAGCCACACATAACTATCCAAATTTAAATTTTAAAAACTTAAAATTAAATAAAATTTAAAATTCAGCACCTAAGTCATATTAGCCACATTTCAAGTGCTCAACAGCCAGAAGTGTCTAGTGACGACCATACTGGATAACACAGATATAGAGCATTTCCATCGTCACAGAAAGTTCTATTGCACAGCATTAATACAGAATAAGAAGAAAAATAGACCTACTCCAAACCCTCAAAAACTCTATAAAATAATATCCATGTAGAAGAAAATAAACCTGCAGAGGAGTTGAGAATGGCCAGAGAATTAAAAAAAAAAAAACAGGGTGCTGTTTCAGAAGCCAAGGAAAGGATGCATTAAAGGGATTGGCCAGAGTCAAATGCTCTGTGAAGCCCACTAAGATAAGGACTGCAAAATGAACACTTGATTTAGGATCAAAGTAACCACTGATGACTTTATTAAGGTGAGAACTGAATTCTCTTCGGGTTAAAGGTGAGTAGAAGGCAGGAAACTGAGAAATCACAAGGAGACTTTTCTTGGAGAAAAGGAACAACTGGAGAAAAACAGATGAGGAAAAAGGGAGGTAGGTAGAAGGGAATGTGGGTCAGAGATGAGATTTTAGCATGTTTAAGTGGTAATGGGAAAGATCCACCTCAAAGTTAACAGTTCAATATACATAATCAGTACTGAAGATTCATGAGAAGGTAGGAAAGGATGGGCTTTAAGGAACTATAAGCCTCAGCGAGGAAGGAGGCAATTCCTGCTTTCTTAAGGGGAGAGAAAGCTACACAGGTAGGTAGAAGTGCTTAGTAGCAGACAGGTGAAGCTTTAGGTTTTTCAGTAAACAGGTGAGGCCATTTGCTGGCAGAGGCTCAGAGATCTGAGAAGAGCTGGGTGGGTCCAACTAGTCACATGGAAGAACAGAACATGCTGACCAGGGAAACTTGTCAGGGCAAGTTGAGAGCCCTTTAAGGTCAGTGATCAGGCATTTAAACGGTGCCAACCTGTCTTACCTACCAACCCTGTTCAGACAGGGAGACAGGGCAAAACTAGATTCATTAACAGCTAAAGTTCAGGGGGCAGATCCAGATTTGTGGGGGGCTGAAGCTTTTATATAATTACGAAGGGCTCTTTAAGAAAATTAAGTACAGGGCTTTGGAAGGGACTTATTAAATAAAGGACCCTGAAATTTAAATGACCTTAACTTCAAGGTAAATCTGCCTCTGAGAGGAGCAAAATAAGGAGTCAGAGAGGCAAGAGAGTCTAAGGACGTGTCAAGGGCCTAAGCTGGATCAAAAGGTAAATAAAGGAGAAGGCTGATGCCTTGGGAAAAGACAGGGGTAGCTGGGGTGGAGATGGAGGACGGGCATGGAGTAAAGGAAGAAAGGTGAGCCTAGTGCCTGTGCAAGGTCAGACATGGCAGGGGGACGAGGGGTAGGAAGGGAGAGTTTAATCAAATGCATAAAAATGTCACAGAAGCCGAGGGCAAAACCCACCTCCTGACCTAGCTGTGTGGGGAATGAGAAATGGACAGCTGCTGGACTGAGACGGCCATAACAAAGCAGCCTAGTTAAGAGAGACCCAGGTTTGTTGTTAAAGATCTTTTATAAATTTTACTTCAATGATGTAAAATAGTTTTAATTTTACAATAAAACATACCCCAATATTGCTCAAATAATTTGCCATCCATGGTCTTCTTATAATTAAAGGAAATATAAGATAAAAATATTATTGCACTTAAAAATAATTAACATAATGGTGAATTATTTGAAAACATCAGACCTATTAAATTGTATTTGAGCTATCACTACTGACACACACTGACACAGATTATGAAAATACAGAAATACCTGAACATTGAAGTTGAGACAGAATTTGAGCACCTTCAAAGTTGTGGTTTGTCATCTTTAAATTAGGTTTGATGCAACGAATAAAGCTTGCTCCCTAGCAGAATAAAGGTAGTTTTTGAGACAATACATATAGTATCATTTTTCTATTTCTATGAATACCAGCAACTTTCAAAATATATTATCATTAACACATGAAACTGTCAAAATAATCACTAAAGAACTGAAAAATTTATTAGCATATTTTTATAATTTAAAGCTCAGAATGAATTTCTGCATTTTAAATAAATAATATTAGAAGAATATTGCACTTCACGGGCTGGCACGGTGGCGCACTGCTACAGTGCGCCGCTTGGGAGCGCGGCGGCACTCCCGCCGAGGGTTCGGATCCCACATACAGACCGGTTCCCGCTCACTGGCTGAGCGAGGTGTGGGTGCAACACTGAGGGTTGCAATCCCGTTGCCGGTCCCGGTCTGGTGCGGGCGTGACACTGAGGGTTGCGATCCGTTGCCGGACACAAAAAAAGACAAAAAAAGGAAGAAAAAAAAAAAAAAAGAAGAAGAATATTGCACTTCAGATTTGAATGTCAAAAACTAAAATAAGTCTTTCACTGTAAAACAATTTAACATATTTAATCAATATATTTTGCAGGCTGACATACATGTGATTTTATTCTACATTTCAATGTATTCATATGCTGTATTTCCTTTTTTTTTTTTGGCAGCTGGCCAATACGGGAAACCAAGCCCTTGACCTTGTTGTTTACAAGACTGCACTCTAACCAATTAGCTAACCAGCCAGTCCCTTATGCTTTATTTCTGCCCTTTGACAAGAGGGGTAAATAAAATGATTCCCTGTAAAATTTTGGCCAAAGTGTAAAAAAAAAAGTCGATCTTTTCAACTCTTCATTAGAATACACAATAGGACCCTAAGGTGCACTATTGCACATTTTAAAGTTTTGTTTTTTTTTGTCTTTTATCTTTTTTCCATGTCCGGCAACGGATCGCAACCCTCAGTGTTGCCCCCGTACCGGACCGGAGACCGGCAACGGGATTGCAAACCTCGGTGTTGCTCCCACGCCTCGCTCAGCCAGTGAGCGGGAGCCGGTCTGTATGTGGGATCCGAACCCTCGGACGGGAGCGCCAGCCGCGCTTCCCAAGCGGCGCACTATCCAGTGCGCCACCGGGCCGGCCCCTAAAGTTTTGTTTGTTAAACAATATCTTTAAAACCTTACGGGCATTCATTTGAAATCAGTTAGATTATGCTGAATGAGGAAGAATGATTACTGATTATATATATAATAAAACTATTGAGTACTAAAGCTAATATACTAGACATCAAATAACTGCTTCTTTTCAAAGGAGTCACTGCAAAAGTGAATAGTTATTTCATCAATGATACTCATTGTAAACACTTCTAGAACACATTTTAGAAATGCCTTCTTTCTATAAATTACAAAAGTAATCTCATCATTCTAGAGTAGCCCCTATTTGGGAAATAAAATAAAATACTATCCTTGTCAGGCTAGGTTTTTAAAGATGTTTGGCCCTTAAGAGAGAAACACTGGCAGTCAACAGGATATTTAAAAGATTTTCTTAAAGGTTCCAAAAGCAAGTCTAACAATAAATTAAGCAATAATAGCATTGACAGAATCAATGTTTGGCATTTGAAAATGACTATCTGAAAAGAAACGGTACTTGGTTAAGTTCTATGGTTTTCTGTAAAAAAATAAGTCTTATCATAGAATCGTGCTTCATTTATGTAACCCATATATTAAAATTCTTTCTATGGTGGTTTTTTTTTAATTTAAAAAAACAGGGTGAATCACTAAAATGGATAGTTAAAAAATAGGCTCCTAATAAATTTGGCCTCTATAATGGAGTATAAAAATATTATGCCCTTTTTTCCCACATCAACATTGCCATGTCTAGAGAACACTACTACAAAAGTAATAACGAAATCGAATCATGTCTTATCTTTAATCCTAAAAAAAATTCTCCTTCTCCATAATTACTAGTTATTTTCCCCTTTCTGATACTACAGAATAATCTTAGTTTAATAACATTCAAAGAGTTCTTTATATTTATAAAATAACTTGACTTCACACACATATTTGATCTTTCTTCAGAACAAACCTATCCAAAATGATAACCTTTTTAAAAACTAATTTTTTTAAATGAAGGGAATTTGGGTTAAAGTGTATTTCTAGTTATTCCAGGGTTACTGTGTTTACATGAGTAATTACTAATGATAGTTTTAGAGGACCATTAAAAAAATAATAAAAAACTGTTTTCCTTTTAAGTGTACTCACAGTACTTCGAAGTTTATCCAGAAGCAAATTTAACTGTGTCTGTGAAAGAAAGGAAATTGGTTTACTATTTCAAAAAGCCAAAGTGTACACTGTCATGAGTTAATGTTAGCATTCCAATATTAGAATAAAACAACATGCAATAACATCCACATATAACACATTACAATTTAACAGCCTCTTGGTACACAAACTCTTTAAACAGACAGCATCATGCAAAATGGCTTATGTAATGTTCAAAACAATAATTTACTTACTTAGCTTGTAAAATTAAAAGACTGATAATTAGCAATATTAAAACACATGCACGCACATTTGCAGGTGAGATGAATGAGGAAAAAGTGTACAGTCAATAAAGTAAGTAAATGAAAACACCGGGGATGCATTCAGTAAGAGACCAACAGTAAAGTATTTGAGTATGTGGCAAACTAGGTATAGCTTGTGTCACACGCCATAAAGACATGCTTAAAATATACAGTAATGGTATATATTAAGACTGTTTTATGTAACACTTAGCACAAAGAAAGTTGCCCTGCCTAGCTACAGAAATCCTTCTTTAGTATTTCAAAACATTCCACATTTCAATTATTTTTAAAAACTTGAATAATTTTCTAAAACAAATTTAACAATGAACACTATAAGTTACTAATGCTTCCCTGTTTTTATATTGATTATAATTTACTCTGATTCAGTACATTAAAAACATTTATTTGCTTTTCTACTCTCCAAATTAATTATGAAAAAGTCTTATATCTGGATTTTCTACTGAGATGCTTATTATACGTACTTACAAAAGACAAATTAAGATGTTAATTCTTAAATTAACCTACTGTATTCATCATAGACTTAATTAATAATAATAGGTATACTTTATAAGTGCTTTCTATGAGTCAGGCACTGCCCAAAGCTTTTCATGGGTATTATCATGTTTAATACTATTTAAAGATACAGTTGTCCCTTGGTATACATGGGGGACTGGTTCCAGGACTTGCCTGGAATATCAAAATCTGAGGATTCTTAAATCCCTACTGTAAAATGGCATAGTATTTGCATATAACCTTAGCACATCCTCCCATATACTTTATCTAAATCATTTCTAGATTACCTATAATAGCTAATACAATGTCAGTGTTATGTAAATAGTTGTTATACCGTATTGTTTAGGGAATAATGACAAGAAAAAAAAAGTCTGTTCATGTTCAGTACAAACACAACTTTTTTTTCAAATATTTTTGATCCTTGGTTGGTTGAACCCACAGATATGGAAACCACAGTTTCAGAGGGCTGACTATAAGAGGGGTCTTCAAAAAAGTTCGTGGAAAGATTCTTATTATCTTTTAATTCCATTTTTCCTCGGACTTTCTGAAGTACCCTTATAAATTATTGGCCTCATTTTATAAGTGGAAGCACTGAGGCCCAGGGAAATAAATAACTTGCCCAGATCATGGAGCTAGCAAATGCAAAGCCATAAGTCCAACACAAGCCTGACACCAAATTTCACTCTCCTATCTAAGATACTATAGTATACTTCACGTATCATAGGTTTAAGTTATTAAAATGGAATGAATCTGTTATTGGATTAAAAGAATATAGTAATTCTCCACTTATCTGGTTGACACAGTTCTGATAAGCTTAATCAATCTAGTCCAGCACTCAAATGAAAAATATAAGAGCCACTAATGTGGGAAGAAAACAACTGTCACAAAGTCCATGTTCCTTAATCCATACACTAAGCACTGTTTTTTCCAAAAAAATGGCGATAAAGTCAAAAGAATAGAAGCTGCAAAAATCAACTAACAGCTGCTGAGAAAAGAGGGAAGAATGTCAATTATCAAAGAGCAGCAGTCAAAGACCACAGGGCATAAGGGTAAACAACCTTACATAACTTATGCTTCATTTCATTTCATTATAAAGCATACAAATATTCATGTTTATAACAAACTAACATTTCCATTAAAAGGATTACTTTTCCTAAAACACCAACAGTAAAAGGGTTAGGTTTCAATAACCTGAAAAAAGTCATTTTTCACTGGAAAATTTTTGGTCCCCAGTAATGTTAAATAACTTAAGTATTACTTTAAATGATAGGCTGTTTTGTTCTTATTGCCTTACGTATTTCAGATTTAATTTAATGAGCTATCCTACTATATTTCAAGTTAAGAATCACTATTTATATTTCATTTCATTTTTATCTCAGAGAAAAACATATGTGAACTATTTTGTTAGTATTCAGTTATAGCTTTTAGCAGTTTAATATAAAATATCTATTATTATATATAAACAATTATAAGGCACTTCAAGGCTCAACATAAAAAATTATTAATCCAAATAAGAATTTTAAGAATGTTTTTGTTTATACTGTCTCAGATTTCAAGTATATATTGACCAGCACTGCTACTATAATATTACAGTAGGAAAATATTAAATGAAAAAAAACTCGTTTTTATAAACATGTTAGTTATGAAGAGCCTACTTCAATATAAAAGGGATTTGAGGAGGCTTATGCTATAAGTTAGTATCACAGTATTTTGATATTTAAATACTGTTCCTAATTACATCATTTTTAATATTTAAAGTACAGATAATGAAAGGCAACCTTAGAATTTTACTATAAATGTAACAATAATACTTTGTGGAAAGTTATGAGAGAAATTCACTCTATTTCTTTGTTCTATGTATTATAATTTTTTGTTCATTAAACTTGTAATATAAAAGTTTTAAAATTATTTCTTCTAAAATAACATTCAACAATTAGAACAAATTGGCAGTGTTCCATTTCTGACACATCTATGTCAATTCTTTGATAGACCTCAAAGAATAAATTCCTGATCTGAAATTAAGAAATGAAATATTCTTCAATGTTAAATAAGCAATTTGAAGAGTTTGCCACACCTGAGCACTTATCTTTTACACAAGTTATTAAAAGCTTTAATCAAATTTTAGTATAATATGCACACGTATAATGCCACTGTGAGAAAACATGTTGAAAACGAATTACAAACTGAATCATTCACTTGAGATGGGCTCTTTTTAACATGGCAGCCACTGTACACACAAGAGTCCATGACGGTGATCATTTACCTGAAGCCCCTGGCTGTGCCTCCTGAAAACTCAACTCAACTAGTCCTCTCTAGCCATCCCAAGCTGGACTACTCCAGCTCAAACAAAACTGCTGAATGAGGAAGGAAACAGAAAACACATGGGAAAGAGAAGGTTTGAAGGTCAACCAGACAGTATGCAAGAAGCAAGAACACTAGGAAAAGCAATCAGATATGTTAAGCACTGAGAAAGAACACATTCAGAAAATGACAAGCATTTCTTTATGTTCAAGTACTAGGCCTACATTATGATATTTTACATACAAATATCAACAGTGCAGGGTCTGCTCTTGAACTTGTGGGATGTCTGACAGTGATCTACATTATCCACTTATATAAAACAATATATTTTACGTTAAATGCAGTAAAAAAAAAAAATTGAAATAATTTAACACAAATACCTTAAACTTGTTTCCCACGCTGATAAAGCTAAGTTTTCCTGCTTTTTGTTTAGTATCTTTGTTGTTATTTGTGGATGATTCAAATAATTCCCGTATAAACTTATCCCTGGATTCACATATTAAGGACTCAAGAGACATATGTAAAGCATCATTATTTTTCTCCACAAACTGGGTCTGAAAAATAAGTCAAAAAGGAATGTTTCAGTCCATCTTGTGATAGTATCTCTTAACACAGCTCTAAAAGAACTTTCTGTGATGACAGAAATGTTCTATATGTGTCTCATACAATACAGTCACCAACAGTCAATGTGGATATTGAGCACTTTAAGTGTGGCTAGCGTACTGAGGAACAGAATTTTTAACTTTCTTTAATTTAAATTTAAATAGCCACGTATGACTGGAGACATATGTACTATCATATTGTACAGTTCAGTTTCAATATCAAATGGTTTTCTGCTTGTTAAAGTTATACTCACTGTTTCATAGCACACTGCCCCAGCAAAATGCCTGATGATGAAGCCCTCATCATCTCTGATGTTCCTATGAACTGCCAGCTTAGATTTCCTAGGAATCTGAAAAACAATAGATACACGAATTTTTAAATTATCAAAAACATATTACATAGTTTTCCTTTAGAATACATTTGAGATGTAAGATACTCAAAATCATAAAGGAAATTTTCACTTTTTACAATTATACCACTTTTTAAACATCTAGTATGCCTTAAAGTACCAGTGAAATCTAGCAAATATTTGCTTATAATCTCTTAGGAAAGAAAATAGATGTAAAACAAACAACCCCCCCCCCCACACTATTTAGAGGCACATATAAAACAATTGGCATTTTACAAAGTTAACCACCTATTTCTAAAGCAGTGGTTCTCAGCCTCGGTGCTATATTAGAATCTAGAATCACCTGAGGAACTTTTAAACTTCCCAAAGCCTATACCATTTATTTCAGGTAATTCCCATGTGCAGCCAGGAAAAGAAACACAGCACAGGAACTCTCCTACTGTTTCAAACCACACTTTCTAACATGTTTGCACAATGTACCTGAATCCATCTCAAGGAAATTAAATTATTTGAGCTGTGCCATTTAATTGTAATATCTCATATTTGTATCATATTTAAAGTTTCCAAAATGCTTTCATATCCAAGATCACATCTGACCCTCAAAATAACCTAAGGTTAAGAAAGATAATCTCATTTTAAAATGAGAAAACTACTACTTGGGAGGCTTAGTGGCTTGCTGAGGTCAGAGAGCTTGCAGAATACAGAAGCTCCTCCTCTCTGTGCAAGGCAACACACTAGAATGAGTCAGAATGAGGGCTCTGCAGCCAAACTGCCTAGCCTGACTCCCAAACCCACCACTTCTTCACATGCCATGCTGGGCATGTCAAATCTCTCCTTGTATGTCTCCAAATCTGAAGCATGGGGATACTAATAGGATTAAATGAAAGAATTCAAGTAAGTGTATTTGAACAGTTCCTGGCACAAGCTGTGTTCAATAAATGGTTCTTATATTTACTTGCAAAGAAATAAAACAAAAGTGATGGCTTCATAAATTAGGATTTAAAGCCTTGCTCTTGTTCTCTTTTGAGAAAAGTGGCCAAATCCCATTGCTGATGCTTCAGTTTGCTGTCCTTTGAGTTACATGCCTCTGAGACTTTAGTCACAATTTTGTTGACTAGTGATGAGTATCCTTAATAAAGGTAAACATGCATCCACAGACTGGTCATAACAAAGATCAGTGAGCAGTGGATAAATAGGACTGGATATATATCTCCAATTTTGGTAAAAGTTTTGTGGAGGATACATATTGTTTTTTATTTCTATCTTCACTCAGGTAATAGAAACAGGCTCGACATTACAAGAAATATTTAAGGATACAGAAGAACTCCAAGTCAACGAAGCAGGCAGTTGTGGGATTCCAGTCCCTAGAGGAGGTTAACACAATTACATCAGCTTTTCAAGTAAACCCATTTAACCTATTTGACCCTGATTTTGTTAATGTGATGAATGGAAAAAAAAAACCACTCGTTATCATTCACTTAAGCTCCTGGGTCCATCAAAGCAATGATTGTTATACTATGTTAAAATCTCAAAATAATATATAGTATGGGAGGCAAATATCTGTTTGTTCCTTAATTCCACTAAGCAATTCTAAGCAGTTTTTCTCTTCTTTCCTTCTCTTTCCTTTGGTGTTTTTTTAATCTATAACATGAGGCAGCACTTATCCCTGTGGCCGAGAATGACATCCGTATTTCTTAGGGCTAGTCAGACTCTTTCTGGATGTCAATTTCAACCACAAATATAGGTGCTACCTCATCTTATAAATTATATAAGTTGTGCCTGTATTATCTCAGGTAATGATGGTTGAGTGAAAAGACACACAGAATTAGGGGAACCAGGAAACACCTCAACAGCCACACAGTCCGGCTTCCTGGACAATGGATCTATTTCTCACTGCTGCAAGGACCCCAGCACAGCTCTATGACCTGACAGCAGTTCAGGAATCAGGTCTTCGGGCCCTTTTAGAAATGCATCTCTACGTTCTACCACTCTCTGTGTCTGTTCTTCCCTTTATTCCACCTAATCCTTCCATTTGCTTTAGCTTCTATTACCCTCTCTGAGTGTATTCTCCATTCAAAACCCCCTAGGAAAGAGATCAAAATGAATTGGCTGATTACTATCTAATATGGATTGCTTCCACCAGTCAGAGTTCTAAGTCACAACCTTCACTGCTAGTCTTACAAATATGCAGACAGATGGTTACTTGTGACTCCAGGTGCTAACCCCTCGAACACAATCAAGGTGACATGACACAAAACAAAGCACCTGATGGCCACTTAGATCAGAAAGGAGAACATGAAGGTAAATCTCTTTGTACATCTCAGATAGGTGAAGTGTACTTTCCATCCAGAGAAAAGGGCTTTGATTACACAGATCATTATCAAAAATACATAGAAATTAAATGCCTATTAATAGAAGATGCTGTGCTAGATATAATACAGTTGCTCTAACCCTACAAAATTTATTCTAATTATCTAATAATATCAAATTTCAAGTGCATCTTTTTAAAAATTTCTCTTCCCACCACAGAGTCTCAATTTTAGAATGGCAAACTCACAGTGAGTCGGAAATGGTCCTTGTGCTTCTGGTGAACAGCAGATGTAAAGTGTTGATCACTTGGCTGGGGAAGGCGATTTTCTTCATCCAAAATATCCAGTATTCCCACTAATTTTCCTTCAATTAAGTCTGTTTCAAAAAAATCAAAATACTCATGATACAGTAAAAACATAACATTTTAAAGATATATGAACAATTTACTGATAACAAATTTCAAAGACTGGTCAGAAAACAATATAACAGATGATTCTACAAGTATTCTCTCAAAGGCTACAGAAAGCAGATGACTTTTTATTTCAAATCTGGCCATTTATTAGAAAGTAACATCATATATTTAATATAGGTTTTAGAAAAACAATTCCATAAAGAAAGCAACTAATATAATAACCATTCCATTTGTAAACTAGGATAAGAGGCTATGATACCAGAAATTCCTCTTTTTCCAGATGACACCTATATTCAAAATGAAGTAAAAGTACAGAAACCTTTGCATGCATAGGTTTTTAATACTGCTAAATGCTTTCAAGCAAAACTTTTTAGTAATAGCACATTTTTATGCTCCTTCCATTCCTGTTTGAATTTCCTTCCTGTCCAATATAACTCTAAAAATAAACTACTTAAATACAGTACATGAGAACTGTTGAGTGGGACACAGCTATAGGACACAGGAAGAGAAAGCAAGATTCTAACTGCACTGGTCAGAAAATGATGCTTCTTGGACAATTAGTGGTGATAAAGGAGAGGCATACTGAACTAAGCTATAAATGAGAGTATTCTGATAGATGTGGAAAGAGGTGGAGGTGAGATGAAAGATAAAAGGAAGAGGAGGAGTTCCGGCCAAGGTGTCAAACCACACAAAGTCACAGAGGCAAGGAAAAACCCAGTATGTTAAGGGAATTCTAAGGGGACGAGATATGACTGAAGGTGCTTTGAAAAGTTACACTAATGAAAAGTAATATTATCATTGTTACACTATCTGTCCAAATCTAGCATATGAGTTACTGACTAGATTGTGAAATGGGGTTTTCAAAACAAGGCTTACACAACAGTTGATTTTACAGATGGGGTGAGAAAGAAAAGAAAGACTAAAAACTAGCTTGGGGGTACAGGGAAAGGTTTCTTTACTGCTAAAATAGATAAGGAAAACAGAGACCCTGTTCTCCTGCTGCACAGTATTATCTTAATGTGACATGTGGAACTTCTGAAGCCAACTTGCAACCAGTCAGAGGATGTTGCTAATGCACAGAGGGGAACAGAACCAAGAGAACAGCAGAAAAACAGAGCCAAATTTGACTTCCGGTCAAGATGGCAGAACAGATGGTCCCCAGAGTCACTCTCTCCCACAAATCAACCAATTTACAAGTATAAAAAAGCAACAACAGCCAAGCTGGGGCCGCTAGAGCTCAGGGGAAGAGGAGGAGAGACCTACGGAGTGCATGAAGGCAGGAGAAGCCACAATAAGAAAGAAAAAACCACTCCGACCGTTTTGAACCCCAGCCACTTCCAGGCTAGAGCTGCTGAGTGCACAGAGCAGGAGCTGGCAAAAGCCATAGCTGTGCCGTTCACAGGAAGTTACTTGAAGGTGGCAGGGGAGAAGTGGGCCTTGGTGGCCCCAGGCCAGCAAGACCACTAATAGGCATTCCATGGACCCACATAGGAGCGAGGAGCCACAACAACTGAAAAAAAAGGTGCCACTCAGAGGCCAGTGAGTCATCACAAGGGACCAGAGCACGGCCGTCCCATGGGAAATTTTTGGGCAATGGGGGAGATGAGCCCACCGGGGGAACACTGGGGCACAGCAAGGACAGCTGATCTGCCCCCCAATCAGCATAGGACCACTAGGAGGAGACCGGTCAGGAATATAGAGTTGCATGGGGTGCAGTTTGATGAGAAGACTCAGGCCCAGACCAGAGTTTCTACACAATCAGGCACAGACCAGGGTTTCCACACACAACCCAGGTGCACCAGATTTCACTAGAACTGAAAGGACCTATAAAGTCAATCACTAAAACCTGAGCAGCACAAAAAGCATTCACTAGGGAATCAGCAGCAAAGCAGCAATTTAGCTCAACCACAGAGCTCAAGTACTGGTCCCACAGGAAGTTCCCCCATTTTAGAAGTAAGCAAAGGACAGCCAATTAGTTCCAGCACAGTTTGAGTGGTGGGAACGGCAAAATAATCCAACACAGAACTGAAAGAAAAAACAAAGTACCCACAACCAGAGACAAAGTTTAATATTAACTAGTAAAGGTCTCATTTCACCAAAGAACACCTATAATACCTAGAAAGAATGGAAGTCCCCTGGGCTACCAAACCAGAAAGGGGGGAGGGCGGGGGCCTCAGCAATGCCCCCCAACACCCACAACCAGTCACGAGGGTGGGGGCCGAGGGCCTCAGCCACACTCCCCGAACACGCACAACCAGCCCAGCCACGACCACCAAGCCTCAGCAAGAAGGGCCCTGGGTTCCCAAGCTGTGTGTGTGTGGGGGGGGGAAGCCCTTGGGTCTCCTGTGTGGGAATGAGGGGGGTGCCATAGGCCTCAATCCCGCCCCTCCTTCCTCTTTCTTCCATCACATTTCCTTACGCTTTCCCCTCTCCTGCTCCCTCCCAACTGCTCCCTGCTCTGCAATAACATCCTAGAATGTAAAAATATAATATTAATAAAATTTTTAAAATTTAAAAAAATTTAAAAATTTTAAAAAAAAAAAGCAAACCTCACTTGGAGGATGGCCTAACAATGAACTTCCTCATAAGAGATGATAAATCTCTTTGCTGCCTGAAACTGAGTTCCCCTCTTAACTGATTCACACATTAGCTGTTTAGGTAGGAAAACACCCATCACAATAAAGAGAAGAGATTTTGGAAAAACTTTCAACAAAGCTGAACTCAATGACTTGGTAGGAAAAATAACTTCTAAGCAATACTAGAGAAGTAAACTCAAATAACACAGTGTCAAGTCCCATAACTAAAGTCAATCACAGAACACAGAAAAATTAACATGAAATGCATTCACTATATCTTCCCATATTTCTTAAAAGTGAAGTAAAAAAACTACATACCTATACAGTCCTGATTATCCACATAATGTACTTCATTAACACCTAAACCTTCTTTCTGATAGAGTTCTTGTTCCTAAAAATGAAATAATCATAATCATAGGTATGGAAATACAGTGCAATATGAAATGGAGTCAATGTTTTATGCTGTTTCTGATCATAACATTTATTAATTAGAATACAAAGGTTAATACCAACTAGTATATCCCTAAATGGTTTTCCAAAGACAGAACAGATTTTGAACATTTGTAGACAGGCACGAAAATCAAGGAAATGGTAATTAACCACAAATGAGCTCTAATTACCTATACAATGATATAATATATATGATGTATACATCATTTGGTGAAAATAAATATAATTTGGAAGAATAATATATAAATCAAAGTTGAGCCCCTAGATGTAAGTCTAGTACCTTCTTAAGTTTTTTTTTTAAATGATTTTATCACAGATGGGTAAGCTATACGATGAGTTTAAGTTAATGTGTTTTAACATTTTTTCCTGAATATTTAAATATTTCCTCTCATGAGATACATTAGAAAAGGTTTCTGACATTCTAGAAGGCACTGTCCACTTGAATCCAATCTGAATTTGAAATACACATTTATTTTAAAGGATTCTTATAAATGAAAATATAAATCAAGATACCATCTCCTTTTATATAGTTTCTATTTCTAAATAAAGCTTCTTGCTGGTTTGGTGTGGAAGGAAAGAGGAATGCATGTAAAACTTCACATGGTAATGAAAGAACTAATTTGGCTGAAAAAAACATTTTCAGAGAGACTATCTTACTGATAAGTATGTGTTTTATCTGTCTGTTTATGCAAGAATCAATTTAACTATTAGATACAGGCAAAATTTACAAAAGCTGGAATATGCTGAGAAGCCCATAAAGACAAAGACATCATAAAAATGTGGGAAAAGATAGAAGGGATGGGACGAGAAAAGAGAATGTTGCACTTTTTGGCCCAGATAAATTGGAGGACAGAACTTAGAAAATAGCAGTGTTAATACAAGCAAAGTACAGTGTTGTGGGCCAGCAGCCAGGAGGTGGGGCTCAGACCTGCAGAAGTTACTAAAATGCTCTGTGAATTGGTTCCTTCATTTGTAAAATAAAGGGACTAGATGCCCCCTCAGGTCTCTTTAACTCTGCTATCTCTATTTAGCAAAACACACCTCAGATAGTACAAAGGAATAAAAGTCAAGGGATTGATAGGACATACTGGAGAACTCAAATTCAAGGGACACAACAGTAAGCCTAATCACAAATCAACTGATCCAAAGCTACCTCTACTTACTCTACACTCCAAAGAATTAAAAAGGAACTTTCCGGGCCGGCCCGGTGGCGCACTGCGATAGTGCACCGCTTGGGAAGCGCGGCGGCGCTCCCGCTGAGGGTTCGGATCCCACATACAGACCGGTTCCCGCTCACTGGCTGAGCGAGGCGCGGGAGCAACACCGAGGGCTGCGATCCCGTTGCTGGTCCCGGTCCAGTACGGGGGCGACACTGAGGGTTGCGATCCATTGCCGGACACGGAAAAAGACAAAAAAAAAAAAAAAGTAACTTTCCTAGGCTGGGTATTCTGAGCATCTGCCGTGCGCAGTTATTTACTATAAGCAGTGGCAGGAAGTTCCTTACTGGACTACAGATGGTGCCCAGCCAAAGGCATGCCATTCACAGGCAGCTGGCAATCCACGAGGTGGCATGGCAGGGAAAGTTCTGCCAGAGTCATTCCAGGCCAATGGCTGTATCAATTCTCCTGACACGGTCGCTTTGCTGCTACACACAGAGAGAAAGAGAGCAGACAGCAGAGTGGGCAGAAGCAGAGAGGCTTAAAAGAAAAGCAGGAGATGCCAAGATCAGGAATAACAATAGAAAGTTGTCTGGCAGTGGCATAAGTAGAGACAACAGAATCAGAAAAAGAACCAAGCAAAACTTCAAATCTAGTAAAAGTCACTAGTAAGATATGATAGATGTTCACTTCTGAGGAGGTACCTATTAGAGTTTTTATGGTGTCCCAAAGCTTCAGCTGAACCATTAACAGTTCTGCTGTGCCTGAGCCAGTGGGGCCTCTGCCGGGCTTCCCTGATTTCCTTGGCTCTCTTATGTATACCCCATCAACTAAAATGTAAAATAGCTTAATGCAGATCTTAAATTTAAATTATAATGGCAATTACCTCCTTCAGAATCCTTTCGTTAAAAAATTGTTGAAGTTTTTCATTGCAATAGTTGATGCAAAACTGTTCAAAACTGTTATGTTCAAAGTACTCTGAAAACATAAAAACAGAACTGAGTCATCATCAAATCAACTTCATACAAATTTATCTTAGAATAAAATATTGTTATTTTAATGGCTGTATTTAAAATTAGATTAAAAAAATACATACATACATATATATATATATATGTGTGTGTATATATATATATATACACACATATAATTGTTCTATACTCCTCAAATACTCTTATTTCAAGACTTAAATTTTGTTAGGCATTAAAATTAAGTATTAAAAAACACCCTGCTTCATACATTAAATATCAGGATGTTGTGATTGTTAATATAAATCTATAGGAGATATGGAAAAACAATCTGTTCTAAGATTAAGTGAATTGGGACTTCTAGAATAAAATATTTCAGCTACAGCATTATATAAACCCTCAAATGATGCTGGATCCAAAGTCAGATTGGAGTGAAAATTACGTGACTTGGAAAGTGAAGTGAGTGATGCAGAAGCCATTCCCAGTGATAATAAAGCTCCTGAGATCAGAGATGCTCAAGAAGAAATGGAAAAAAATTGTTTTGTGAAATAAGAGAGTGGAAAAAAACCTTATTTTTCTAAATAATCTTGAAAATGTGTGTACCTACAATAATAAATTAAATATGATACGTAAAAAAAAATCCCTGCTTCAATTGACAAAAATGCTATTTGTCAGATGAAATATATGTTATATAGTAAAAGATATAAAATGTAAGCACTTGTAACATAATTTTTTAAAGCACAAGTATTAAAGCAATCTACCTTAAAGCACAAAATTGATGCAAAATACAAGTGCTTTAGAAGATTTCTTTCTGGGCCGACCCTGTGGCGCACTCAGGAGAGTGCGGCGCTGGGAGCATAGCGGCGCTCCGGCCGCGGGTTCGGATCCTATATAGGGATGGCCGGTGCGCTCACTGGCTGAGTGCTGTGCGGACGACACCAAGCCAAGGGGCGCAATCCCCCTTACCGGTCACAAAAAAAAAAAAAAAAAAAAGAAGAAAATAGAGAAGATTTCTTTCTGCATAACCTGGTGAAATTACAGTTATTAAAAATGCTATGAATGGGGCCAACCCTGTGGCTCACTCGGGAGACTGCGGCGCTGGGAGCGCAGTGGCGCTGGGAACGCTGAGGCCGCGGGTTCGGATCCTATATAGGGATGGCGGGTGCGCTCACTGGCTGAGTGCTGTGCGGACGACACCAAGCCAAGGGGCGCAATCCCCCTTACCGGTCACAAAAAAAAAAAAAAAAAAAAAAAAAAGTAGAAAATAGAGAAGATTTCTTTCTGCATAACCTGGTAAAATTACAGTTATTAAAAATGCTATGAATGGGGCCAACCCTGTGGCTCACTCGGGAGACTGCGGCGCTGGGAGCGCAGTGGTGCTGGGAACGCTGAGGCCGCGGGTTCGGATCCTATATAGAGATGGCCGTTGCGCTCACTGGCTGAGTGCGGTGCAAGTGACACCAAGCCAAGGGTTACAATCCCCTTACCGGTCACAAAAAATAATAATAATAATAATAAAATAAAATAAAAATAAAAATGCTATGAGTGAATACTAATTCATTTCTAAAATTAAGGAATTGTATTACATGATGTCTAAGATGCACACAGCTCTAAAATTTTATAATTCTGTGTATGTGCATGTTATACTAAAACTGGTGTAGACCAGAAAACAAATGTCTAAGATTGTGAAATGTCAAGTCAATGATAGGTGCTTCTCCACCTTTGAATGAAAGGTAGTAATTTACTATAAATTTTAAAATCACATCAAAAGCAAAACTTTGTTCTTCCCAAAATGTAAACACTCATACCTTACCTTGGCAAAGGCAAACAAATCACAAAGGAAGAAGACACCACCCCTTCACAGCCAAAAGGAACTCCCACACTGATTAAGCCTAATACAAAACCCACCAGATGTACTTGAAGATTTTTACAACATGGTCATTCAGAACAAAGCAGCATTCAGATGCTGCTGACCCATTTCATTTCTGGTCAAACAGCTCCACGACTCTTCTCAATTACTAATCTTGATATCTTATTGATTTGATGGAAAATTAACTGGAAATAACTATTCACTGACAACACTAGCAATGAATTTTTACACATAGCAATGAGGTTGGCCTATATGTTAGGTCAATCTACACCCAGCTCTACATGTTAGTCAATGGTTTAAATGACTTTATCATCTTTATCTATTATCTTTTAGTTATTAAGCTTAGTAGTATCTTTATTAATAGCACTCAAGAGTTTAACCCTTTTTTAGTTGTATTCATTTCAGTGTATAGAGATACCTTTAATTATAGTGTTTTCAATCAACATGTTTCAATTTTAGCATTAGTGTGATCAAAACCAGCCACCCCCCATGAGTCTTTCCTTTTTTTTTAAAGCATCAGCTTCCTATTTAAGTCATAGGATAAAATACAGGTATGAACATATAATTGAAAATACACTGTGCCACAAGGGAAAAAAGTTTTTTTGTTTTTTTTAATTTTGGGGGCTAGCTGTTCAGCTCCTAGAGCACGGTGTTGAAAACACTAAGGTCCAGGGTTTGATCACTGTCCCAGCAAGCTGTCCCCTCTTAACCCCCCCAAAAAACAATTTTAAATATGAAAAAATATCAAGCAAATATACACTCACAAAAAAAACTATACTCACCAAAACCAGCAATATCTAGGACTCCAATAAAATAGGATGACGTTTCAAAAGGAAAACACTGATTCACTCTGTTTACCACATGATCAAAGAGATGGCTATACACAGTCTTTGCCAAGGCATCACGAGCGCTGTTTGCTTGCTCCACTTTCAGGGGTACCCTATAAAAGAAGACTATATCAATGAAAATCCTTTATGGTAATATATTGTGAAAATAATGCCAGATACTGAAGGTCAAAATGTACCTGAACATATTTACTGTGAAGAACAAAATAGTTATGCAAAGGTCATGTGTGAATAGGCACAAATAAGTGGGGATAAGTAGAAAACTACAAGACGAACTAGAGGAACTATCTAAAATTAGATAAAAAATCTATTATTGGGTAAAAGAACTTTAGGCTTAAAAAATCATTTTAACCTTAATTTACACTTCACTTTACATGCTGAAATATATGTTATTCAGAGGAATAATCTTCCTTTTGACTTTCCTTAAATGCAAAAAATATTGTGTTTAATTCAGGATAACTTTAAAGTTTGGCGACTTGTTTACCTTGTTTAGGAAAAACACATCTCAAAATTTGAACTGTCCAACTCTATTATTTGATATAAATAACTACATAATATAACAGAATTAGATGTTGCAGATGCAGACACACAGCCACTCTCCTCAAGAAAATTATAGCCTGATGAAGAGACTGGCGTAAAAGAGAATTTCCAAACACCAAACTAAATGCTATAATAAAGATAAGCGTGGGCCAATATGGGAGCACCAACATTAAAGTTCAAATTTGTAACTAACTTTAAAAGTCATTTGGGTCAGCCTGATACTCGAATCCCCTCTAAGTAAGGCTTTTCTAACTTATATTTTCTGCAATGAAATCCTTTCTTGAAGTGTATTTTATGTAAACACCCTGCACATAGAATACATAGAAGGAAACAATACCTGAGGACCACCCACCTGTGCCATTATGGGCCTTCCCTTGGGCCCCAGAGATATCTCTAAGGAACCGAGCAACTGTAGAGCATTGCCCTACAAACTCCTTGCTGACTTTTTCTTTATAATAATAATTTGGAATCAGCTTAGCAAAGTATCAGGCTAAGCATGCCTTGCCAATATTTCCAAAAGTGTAAGAGGTAGCAAATTTTCTGAGTGGCTTTAAAAAAAATGTTTCGTGTTTTAATTTGTTGAAAATTTTTCTGAAATATGGCACAAGAGCTCATTCTTTTTTTTTTTTTTTTTTTTTTTTTTTT